TGCCGTAAAATAATTAAAATGCATCGCAATTTAATTTTGTTTAAATTTTTTGTTAAGGCACGGTAAGAAAAAATATATAATCTAATTTTTGTTAAATTTAGTTTTAAGTATAGTCAAACTTTTATTTATATGCTCTAATTTTTTGAATTTTTTTGTGCTCTATCTTTATTTTTTTTAATATCTTAAAACCACAAGTCAATTTATATTTTGTATATTTTTATTAATGAATAATTTTTTTAAAGTTCTATTCTCATTATTTGATGTTAAAACAAGTTTAATTACAATAAGTGCCTATGTTTCATGAAAATATATTGAGCTTGTTGAGCTTCTTAAAAGGGTAAGTATTTACTTTAATCTCTAAAATATATAATTTGACTAAAGCTAGTCTTCAACTTTTAAAATTTTAATTTTTAAAATTAATAATTTGTAATCACATTAAATGACATTTAATAGTCTCTTTTATAATAAAACGACACATTTTAAAATATTTTAAAAATAAGTTAATTTTGTGCCTAACTTTTAAAACTTTTGAATCATAAAGTTTTTACCTTATCTTTTGTTTTACTTTTTCTACAACATTTTCTTTATGCTAGTTACAATAGCATTTGCTTCTTTCATATTGTATATTTCATCTTCCATTGTAGTAGTCTCATGCTCTCTTTCTTTGGACCATCACCCCTACTAAATCACCTTCAAATCTAAAATTTTTGCCTACTCACTCTACACCCACACTCCCTCACATCCCATCACTTTACAGTATTAATACTATTGTAACGGTGATCGGAGAAAAAAAAAAGACATAGAAAAAAGTGGAAAAAAAAAAGATAAAAACCTTATTACTTGAAATTTTTAAAAGTTAGGAATAAAAATGTTCTATTTTTAGAATATTTTAAAACGATATTATTTTGTGGTAGGAATAGACTATCACATGTCATTTAATGAGATAAATCATTATTCTATTTCTTAATTTTAACATCTAATAACAAGAACTAACATAATTAACAATTGTTAATTTTAAATTTAAGAGATTGATTTGAATAATGTTGTATATTTTAATGATTAAAGTAAGGTGTACTTAAAATATTGACCATGAATGTAAAACTTATTAAAAAGTCTAAATTAGTATAAAAAAAAAAGTCAAACATATATTTAATGGTGCTTTGATAAATAAAAAAAACACAAAATAGATTAAATTGTGATTAATTTTAATTTTTCAAGGGGAAAGAGTTGTATAATTTTAACTTAAAAGGGAAGATAATGTAATATATGCATATTTTATGGGAGGAGAATATAATTTAGATATAGTTTGATAAACTTCTACGTAAGTTATTGTAAGAGAAAAAAATTTTAAAAAATTATAGGTTAAAAAATAACTTATCTTCTTAAATTTTAAAAAAGTTAAAAAAAATTATAATTAAGTTCAACCTATAAAAAATTTAATTTATTTTACTACTTACTTTATATATATATATATATATATATATATATATATATATATATTATTTAGAAGTTTATCCAGATCTAGCCTTACTTTTAAAATTTTATTATTATAAAATTTAAATTACTAAAAACAGCCACTAATGGTGATTCAATTGAATTGGCCGGGTGTGGTCATTTTAGTTCTGCAATGGTTTCAATTCCCGAATTGAAGACCAAAATGCGTAATAACCCAAGGCCTTTCCAACTAATCTTTCTTATCCCACACAGTCAATCACGATTTTCACTTACACCTTTCGGGTAGCATCTTCCCTTCCACCACCACCACTTCCTTCACCGCATTAGATCCTCTTTCTACTAAAGCCTTTCCTCCTCACAACACTACTTCATCTCTCTCTCCCTTTTACCCCTAATTCTATTCCATCTTTCAAAGTGCCATTCACTTCAACCTCAACAACCTTGTTGCTGGAATGTCAAATATAGGTATCCAATTAATGATGAACATGATTTGTCAAAATAATACAAATACTAGCCTAAATTTTTTTAGCAAATTTTACCTTTTATCAATAAAATTCAAAAAATTAATATAATATGTTATAATAGATTAACCTTAAACATTAGTTCGTATCAAAAGGGATCCCTTTAAACTCTAAAACACAAGACAAATTACTTTTTTAAGGGTAAATTAGTAGTTTTGTTTCATATATAAAAAATAAAGTTAAACTATATATTTAATTTCCTTACTTAAAAAAAACACTTACGTTTTTGTCTTTATTGTTATTGATAGTAGTATCTAACATAAGTATTTTTGTGACTCTATAAATCATTAATAACAAATTAAAAATACTTTGGAGTAGGAATTGTTTTTATCTGAATAGATAATCTTATGAAATAATACTTGGAGTTATCTAAACTTAATCATTGTATGTTATAATATTAAAATTTTCTGACTAATTTAATATCTTTGATGATGGTTATTTATTGTGCTATAGAAAAGTTATTATCTATAACATTTTAGAAATATCTTTATCTATAAGCATAGCCCGTAATATGTGGCATGTTTTTAACGCATTACTTTTATTTTATTTTATTCCCATAGGCCCAAACCCAAATCTAGCTTTGGTTATTTCTTAATCCCCGCTCCATCACATCTTTACTTCTCATTAAATTCACTTTTTAAAATTTTAAACATTTTTTATTATTTAGTTGAATTGATCCACTAATTCATCGTAAACAAGAGCTTAATTCATTTTTGGAAAAATAGCTCAATCAATCCCATTTTAGTTTTAGTAGGTTGGTAACAAGATAGAATTGGATAAGTCAACCTACTTTATTAACACTACTTCGTGTTATGTTAGTAAAATACTCAATTGGATGTAAAAGATGCAAAGTATATGACAGGCAAAGAAAGGACGTTTGTTATCCATAGACAACACCTTTAATAAGCATATATTTCCTTTTCGTACAAGGTATCTCAAATTCTGCCGTAGATCAATTTCTGGTTTTAGGTGTTCCTATTCTCTAATTTGAACCTAACACTTCATCCATTTCCTCTTACTTATCCTCAAATCCTGATTTGTATTCATCATTAGAACTAAATATACTCCCATAATTCCAAACACTATTGGACTTTCTTGATCTAGCGAACTTAAACCTCTAGTTATCTTCAAGATTGTTTGCTCCCACCTTTTTGTTCTAAACTTGAATACCATATTCAACATCATCATAGTTATAGCGGTTCTAAAATACAATTGTACATTATTAATTTCTCCTTTTACAACACTTACATGTATAACAATTAAATCGTTATTTTAAGTTTTTTCAAATTGTTAAGAAAGAATTTTTCGGCAATAGGAAGACTTTGGTTGTTTCTCCTATTTTAGATTTCAGAATTCAAAATGCTAATCATCCTGATTTGGTGAAGGGAAAAATTAAGTAAAAAGGGTTTTGATGTTAATTTGGTTGTTGTTTATTTGGATTACTCGAATTCATGAAAACGGTATATTTTTTAATGAAAAGTAGCTGGATTTAGTAAGGTTAACGAACTTAACTCAGGGTATTGTCGAAATTTCTTTAGAAATAGAGAGATGATTTCCATTTTCCAGTGATGTATTAATCTATTATAGTGCATGAACGCTCCTACATCGATTGAAATTGTTGAAATTTTTATATTATGGGTTAGAACATTAATTAATTACCTCCGTACTCCTTCAAATGAAATTAATTTTTTACTAATGAGAAAAGAGCAAAATACCTAAAATTTCTAATCTCATCACAATTCATATGATGCTGTAGGTATTCATATCTAGTCATGATCTTGCAATATTAGTTATGATTCTAACCATTGTCTAGTCACTATCTTCGTAGATCGCGATTAAAAATTTACGATCCTTAATCGTATAACTTTATCAAGAAAAATACGCTTACCCACCTTTAACTTATACGTGTTTTAGCTTGGCATTTATATAAAGGTAAAAAAAAATCATATCGTGATTGCATGCGTTATTGACTAAATCTCCCATAAAATGACTATTATTATTGTTTATTTCTGAACGAAGGAGTTACCTTTCATGGAAATATGAAGGTAAAACAATCATTTCGTGATTACGTTTAATGACTAAATCTCGTACCAGCTAACCATTACTATTGTTTATTCTGAAGCAAGAGTTACCATTATTGGGAGGATGAATACCAGAATAAAATAACAAAGTATAGTTAACAGATAATTATTTTCTTAAAAGAATTATTGTAATTCAATTTTTGGTTATATATTAAATATTTTATTAAAAGAAAAAAAAATTACTTTATTAATCAGTATTTTTAAAATATTAGTTAAACAGTCAAAAATATTTTTTTTATTGTTCCTAAATAAATTACTTTTAATTTCTAAATTAATATTCTCAAGCCATCGCACGCGGGAATCAAGGGATAAATATTATTTTAGCTAGAAAGAGAAATATTTTATTTAAAAAATATAAAAATATGATCACTTTAATATTTTTTTGCAAATGTATTATTATCTATCTTGAAAAAAAATCTTCAACTTGGGAGTGTGGATTTATTTAGGAACGACACTGAAAAAAGAAGAGAGGCAAACATACAATAATTACGCTCTCCATGATTAGATATTTGCGGCGAATTGCGCTTCTGAGTGGCTTCCGTCCCTTTCATGTTTGTTAATATTTTGTCCCCTGTCGCAACATCGTTAATTCGTCATCGGAATTTTTGACACGAAGCCCTTCCAATACTATCTTCTCATGTTTAACGTCACTCTTTACCAACACAGATTTTTCATGATCAGAGATGTTCCTTAATAATTAGTATACGATTTTTATTAAAATTTATGTGAAAATTTATTAAAAATAAAAATTTGCATTAATTAACAAATATATTTTTATAATTTCTTAACTAGCGTCTTTAACTATTAATTAAAAAAATATTAATATTATTAAAATATTTTTACTGAAAGAGTAAAAGTAGTTATTAAGGTAATTAGTTGATATAAAATATTTTTAAAATAATAATGATTTTATTATAATAGTTAAATGAGAAACTTATTCTTAAATAGGATAGTATTTTATGTGTAAAAAAGTATTCATAAAAGGAAGAGATTGCATAATCAGAGTCTCTGCATGCACACTGGATCAGCTCCCGACTGTGAAAGGTCCTTGGAATGAGCTTTTACAACTATAGTCTATGCTATAATAATAATAATTAATATTTATCACCATAATAAGGGAGCGACTCTGTCTATGGACTTCCCTGTATTGGGAGGGGCTTGAAAAGCTTGAAGTAATAGGAAAACAATAAAAGTGAACCAAAATAAGTTAAAAAACTGTGTAGAAAATAGACATGGATATCTACACCGTCTCTGCCCCTTGTGTACGTTATACCAATTTTACACGTAAATTGATCATGGATCGCACAGCTAAACAGAGAGATAGAGATTGAGGCACACAGTACATCTTCCATCAAATTAAACTTGGCAACTCTCTCTCTCCGGATCCCCTGTTTTCTTCTTGTCGTTGAGCTCTGTTTGGTCTTCAACAACTTGGTCCTGTTTCTTCTCAGGTTCAGGTTGTTCATCTTCCTTCTCTTCTTTCTTCCCCCCAATTTCGATGTCTCCAACCCCTTGTTCATTCTCGTCTGTCACACTTGGAACCACGTTTTCATCATTGTTGATATCACCTTTGTGTTCTGGGAGCTTCTCATCCTTTACGGGCTTCTTGTTTCTGTACATTGCGTAGAGAACCATCTGAACGATTCCAAACGTTAACCCCACAACGTTCGGGAGCTGTCCAGAGACAAAAACACATAACACTGTCATATATATGCATTATCCATAACGACAAAATAGTAGGTACGGGAAACACGCACACAATATGGCTCTTGCCAGATTGTGAGATATCGTGCATGAACTTGGAAGACTTACCGTGACATAGATATCCTTCAGAGAAATCCCGTATAAGAGCCACATAATTGCGCTAACCAAGAGGAGGAGTGAAAGAGGAAAAGGAAGGAACTCTACGCTTTTGGTGCGAATAACCACCCTCTGAAAATTTTATTAAAAAAATTAACCATGCATGCATGATTAGTCTATAGGCAGAAAATATTAAAATATTTGACAACCAGGAGATTATTTTAATAACATAGGGAATGAGAAATTTAAAATAAGTAGGAAAGTTCGTTCTAGATAGTGATTAAATGAGTTACTTACAATAATGCTTAAAGGTGCGGCGAAAACACTAGTGGCAAAGACAACGCAAATCCAACCAAGAAGCTTGACACGGCCTTCTCCTTTTGCCAGGAGGTGGGTTAGGAGGACAATCGTGCAAAATCCCCCAAAATTTAACAAGACAATCATCCTCAGGGTCGACATCTGAAAGTTCAATAACAGTTTCAAATGATGTTATAACAAGTCATCTATTACTAATGAGAGACACAAAGTGAGTAAAGTTATGATTTTATGTAATTAATCCTAGTCCAAGTATACTTATTAATTATGTACTTACCCTAGCTTTCTTGGGGCAGTAAGTGATAAATATGGCAAGGTAAATTGTCTCTATCACACAACCAAATGCATTGATTGTGATAAGAAGCGTTTCTCCGGTCTTCACATAGGCATAAAAAATCCAAAGCATTGCACTGAAGAGTGCAGCTACATACGGAATTGATTGGAACCCTTCGGTTGATTTCTTCTTACAAACTCTATAAAATGTCGGTCTGCAAATTCACGTGCATGTGTGTATATTTTTATTTTGATTAGTAAGATGTCTCAAGATTAATCATAGTTTAAAATTCACTAATACGCATTAAAAGTAGACTGAGAGAACGTTTCGACTTACAGTGGTGCCAGAAAGCACACGAAGGAGGCAATGTTGCCTGCAACATTCACAAGAAAATAAGGAAGAAAGTCACATCTTCTGTAACCTTAATAGGAGGATATAAATATGTAGTAACGAAAAATATATATCTAAGAAGAAAACGTAAATAAATTTTCAGTGTGTATCGATACCTAGAACACCAAAGATGAAGGTTATAGGACTGTGGGACATGGTTTTGGAATCTCTATGACACACTCTCTCTGTCTCTCTCTGATTTTCCCTTGTGTTAAGGGAGAGAAGGAAGGTCAGAAGGAAAACTTGCAATTGCTCAATTCCTGTCTCACACCTTTGCCCCGAGTATAGAGCCCTATATATAAGGGTGTGGTTGGTTCATGCACGAGGGAGTGGGGATGGACAGGTTTGCATGGACATTATATTATGAAACTATGAATGATTGTTTTCCAACACATTGCTTTGAAAGCCACATAAAAAAACTATGAATGGTTTTTTGGAAAAAGGAAAAAAGAAAAAAAATGTCTTATCTTATATTATTTAAGGTCTTTTTGTTTGTATTTCAAAAATAATTTTTTAATGAATATATTTAAAAAGTTTATAATAATTATGTAAATTTTTCAAGGTACAAAAAAATTAAAAAGGTTGGTTTGATCATTCCTAAAAAATATTTTAAAAAATTTATAATATGAGAAACTTATTTATCTAAAAATATTAGAAAAATATGGACCCTTAATGTTGTATTACTTCAATATAACATTAAAAGTGTTCTTAAAATGAGAAATAATAATGATGAATCTACATAACTAAAGTAGTAAATGAGAAATAACAATGATCGATACGATGATTGCCACCTCAATATATTATTATTGTAAGCGTAGGTGCAGTGTCGTTTACAATTAATAGTAGGGCCACCCTTTTACTTAATACCGCTTACGTACCTAAAATGTTTTCTTTCTTTTCACAGCATCAAAGACCTCCTTCTTCTTCCTCACGTGACATATCTCCATTATTTGCATTTCTTCATCACTCGAAACATTCTTTTTTGGACATTTTTCGACGAATCCAAATTTATGTTATTTTATTTATTCATTTATTATTAAAATAGTGCTAATAAAAAAAGAATATGCTTCTCTTTATTTTGTAATAAATTTTTTATTCAATAATATTTCATTTTAGAGATAAAAATGAAAACATTAAAAAGATATATAATAAATAAATAAATCTCCTTTTTATCAGTAATAATCTCCCTTTTAATTTATATTATTGTGATACTTCAATGTACACCAGGCCGCCAAACACCCCTGCCCGAATCAACCGCACTACCATCAAAAGCAAACCCTATTAGGTCACCAAAATTTCATGCTTTAGAGATGAAAACAGGACACGTGTGAAAACTGAGATTATAGTCATGCACTATTGCTTTTACATGTTTGTGACACTTTTTTTTTTATTTGCTTACTGAATGGTTTGTGATTCATATATATAATACATATCTTGATCAAAATGAAGAGTGTTATTGCGCTCTATCTCATATAGCTTTTGACTGTCACGCGTGAACAGTGGAATTCAAAGTCCTCTTGATGATTAAACCAAGTGGCACTCTCTGATCCGATGACAGTTATATGTATCTAACAATTTGATAAATTTATAGGGGAAACTCACTTGCTTTGCAGCTGGTTTGTTCGACAGTACAAAACGTAAAGTGTCCCGAAGAATATAAAATTTCGAAGAGGAAAAAAGTGAGATTATTTTTAAAGAAGGAAAGAAGTGATGAGATATTTTTTAAAGGGTATCATAGTGCATGTTGTTAGTGACATTTTATGAAATTGAAAATAATGATAATTAATTAGAGATATAAATATTATAAAAACAATATAACACTTAATGTCAACTTTTAAGATTGATTTAAATATTTAAAAAATTAATTAAAAATAAAAAATATTTATTATACTTTTTATTTTTTAATGTAATAAATATTTTTTTTCAATGCCAAACTATCAATTTTAGATGTTTAGAATCAATTTCAAAGGATGATATTAATAAAATTGTATTTTTATTTATATAATAATGATACTTTTAAAGAAATAGTATTTTGTTTTAAATATAAACACTTAATTAATAAGTCACTGAAAGAAATTACTTGACCTGATTTATTTTTTAAAATAAATAAATTCAACAGTAATCTCTTAATTAATAGTTTTATTTATTTTTAGCACATGATTAACCCTTAGACAAGAAAAGCTTGAGCCAACTTATATCCTTAATAAAATTATTAGTGAAGCAAATTAGTCTTAAAATTGATAACGCAAACAGAAAAAAAAGAATAAAGCATGTCACACATTTATAATCTTAAGAAAATAACTAATCAATTAATTAAATTTATTTAACAATTATATTTAGTTGATTAATAATTTTTACAGTGAATGAATTAAGTGTATAGTCTTATTTTTATTTTTAGCATGTATCTCATGGTACACGTTAACAGAACTACTTGAATATATCATTTAAATATTGTGATTGGTGATGACTAACTTTAGTAGGTTTAATAATTGGACTCCGTAGTGGTGGGTGCAGAGTCTTAAAATATGAGGCACAACAAGGTGGATAACATTTTAAGATTTTGTTAATCTATCCGCATTAATATTAATTAACTGAATGATTTTCATCTGTTAATTATTTTTTATTGTTACCTTCGGTTCTTAGAATGATTAATATAAGTATTTTAAAGTCATAAATTTTTAATAAAAAAACACATTTATTATATTGAAGATAAAAATTATTATTTTTATAAACTGAAATTTAATCTTAATAATAAAAGTTGACAATTTCCTAAATTTTTATATGATTTAATTTATAACAGCCTTTGCATTGATTTTTTTTTCAAAAAAATGTTTATAAATTTTTAGAAAATCATATTTTTTGATACTTCTGAAAAAATAAATACAAAAGTTTTTTCATCATTAAATCGTATAAATATTTAAAATGATTTTTTTTTTATAAATAACCCTGTGATTAGCATTAATTATATATGTTTCACCATGAATTTCATTGATTTACAGTATAGTTTAAAATTAATGGTTAACGACATTGGTTAAAGAATTAATGTTTAACATTAATTTCATTTTAATAATATTTTTAAATTTCCTAGAAGTATTTCTTAAAAGCTTTCAAATATTTACCTTAAAATTATAGAAGTGAGATATTTTGAACTGTTTAACGACAAGAGTCCACGCTTCGGGATTGCTGTTGGTTTACTGAACGTGTGATTATTACTTTTTGAGAAGTTCTAAATTCATTTTTAATATCAATTATTTATATATTTTTATCATCAAAGTAGTTGTAAAATTATTATATATTTTTAAAGAAAGAATTGATATAAGAAAATAATGAAAGAAACTGATGACAAATTAAACTTTTAAAAGAATAATCAAATATTAACTATTGGAGGAAAAATTGGGGCAGTACATTTGATAAAATGATTATAAAATTTGCCTTTTGATAACGGTTTGAGTATGTATTCATAAGATTTGTAAAACTCTAATAGAAAAAGAAATTAGACACACATAGAGCAATCTAATTGTATAGGTAGAGGGAAAATCAGAAAAGCTTTAGACGAATTCGTTAAGAGTAATTTAGAAGTTAAAACTTGGTCTATATCGACATAATTTAAAATAGAATATTACTGCATTGTTTGGTTTATATAGAGGAGCCCCATTTAGTAAAAAGAAGTTTAATTAGTTGTTATTATATTTAGATAAAAGTTGAAAAACATATTTTTATGCTAATTTTTAAAAAACCTTATTTTATAAAGTTTTAAAAATGATACTATTTTAAAATATCCCATTTTTATAAATTTTAAAATCTTTTTTACTAAAACTTTTCATGCATGGTAACTATAATATTAATTAATAGTGGCTATGGCTATGGTGTCTGAGAGCCATGAAGCAATTATGGATTAACAGTGGCTATGGCTCAGCTGGCTTCCACAGCGTCTCGAACTAACCCCACTTTTGAACGTTGTCAAAGTTGAATGGTTTTAGCCACACTTTTTGAGGAGAAAGTGCGTTTAATTAGAATTATGTTACAGCCACAAGGAAGGCTCCGTCTAATAATGATAAAGGGTGGGTGTGCTTATGTTAAATGTGTTCCATGGGGTTTGTTTTAAAGAACAAATATGAGACGTCAAATTTTATGTTTTGTTGATTATGGACAATCGTGGGATTGCTTCATATTCAAGTGCATGCATGTGTTCTAATTCGTACGGAAATTTTCATTCTTGACGCCAACTACTTCCTACGTGTTTATTTCCAACCATTTATAATCTTAATTTTAATTAAAAAAAAATTTTAAATGATGAAATATTCTTTATTTAAATACTTTTTTCAGTAAATTTTAAATTAAATTTTTTTATTAAAACGTAAAGAAAGCTTAATTTGTTTTTCAATTTTGTTCAAATAGCCGTTTGAGCTTCAAAATCCCGTTTCGTTCATAGAAATGAAAACAATATGAGTAAAATGTACGTCTTCCAACCAATCATGCACTATGGATGATTTGGCAAAATAACAGCTAAAGAAAAAGAGTTTCGTAGGGTCCTTATTTTTCTAGGTGGTACATTACCTGACGAAATTAATTATAATTAAAAATCATACGTGTATATACTCATGTGGCTGAAACTGCACAGGTGGTATGCATCATTTTTTTTCCATCACTCGCCATATATGATTGATTGATTTTTAAACTAAATAATAATAGCTGTGTTGTGTGGCTTAGAAAGCCAAGAGCCTTGTCTTGCATGATTTTTGTGGAGTTCTTTTTGTGTGGCTGGTCGTAGGAGTGTGTACGTGGAGGGACACCTGGAATAAGCTGGAAATTACTGAAAAGGGGTCAGCATAGGGTGACTTGATTGAATTGAACATTGACCAATGCCATAATGCTAGCTAATCGAACTCTCGTCATCTCTCTTACACCGTGCATGTTTTTGGAGTTGAAATTGCAGAATGCGACGCTCCAGAATCTGAATCAATGCAAAATTAGCTATATTATTTTTGGATACTTGTCCACCTGTGGAGACAGCTTGGCATACTCTAGATAGATATGCATGGCAAATGGCAACCAGAACCATATATCTCTCTCTCATTTCTCCTATTTTTTTTCACTTTCATATGTAAATGTAAAGTACATCTTTGTTTTCCTTTCTTTTGTTAAACTCGATCATTTTTTCTCAAATAATCTTTTTAAGAGTAAGTAATTCTTCATGGAAAATTATTCTTTTATAAATATGTATGAAGAGACTGCCTAGCTAGCGCTTGTCTGAATTGTGAGGAAATAATAAGAAAAAAAGTCAATTACATAAAAAAAGGATTGTCTCCCTTTTTTTTTAATTCAAAAATTATAAGTAATTAACTAAATCGGTAGAAACTAGAAAGAATGCTTATCTTTTCTTTTCCTTCTC